AAAAAGGTATAAAATTAGTATACAGTAAAACCTGTATAGATCGTATTGGATTGGATGATCGTAACCGGACAGCATCCGCCCGCGCAATGTAGCAGCAGCAGCAGCAGCAGCAGCAGCAGCAGCAACAGAAACAGCATTACGTTGAAGGGGGCCGAGTGTTGGCGAAGCTGGTCGAACCTGGACGAATAGTAGGCTCGAATCGTGCTCGGGCGACGCATCGGTTCGAACGCGCCAACAAGAACCTCTCCAAGAAGAACTTTATATCCCACATACAACCTCATATTTTATTTCATTATTTTATTCCATTATTTTTACTATCTTATTATATCTGACACATAACACACAACACAACACAAAAATATATTTATATGTTTGTATGTGTGTGTGTCTGTCTCTGTGTGTGCTGTGTGTGTATATATATACACACGCGTGTTTCTACTAACACTTTGAACAAGTGTAGAGGGAGAAAATAATTTCTTAGTTGTCTTTCTACGTCTTCGTGGTAGTATTCTTTTAGATTCTTCGTGCATCTTTTCTTTCTTAACTTTAACGTTCGCGTGCCCTGACAACACGTTCTTCTTCTATAAACTTAATTTCGCATATTTCTTTTCTCTTTCTTTCTCTCTTCAAAGATATATATATATATATATTATTTCTTTTTGAGAAAAACTAATTATTTTGGAGTATTCTTTTAATTTCATTTCGTTTTGTTTGCGCGCGCCAATTCCTCTATAATTTCGATCTATCGAAATTTCAAATTCATTTCAACGATTCGATTATATACCTTCCTCTTCCTAATTTTCCTATAAGAGTTTTCTTATCTTTTATTTTTCTTTTTCTTATTGTTTTTATCGTATCCTATTATATTATACGCGTTTAATAAAACAGTGTTGAAATTTTGGATTTTATATTTCGTGAGATAACGTTAGAAATTTCAATTAGAAATTTAATTATTTGATATAAGTGTTTGGAATATTTTGAAATTATTATTATTATTATTTTGTATATTATATATGTGATCAATAATATTTCCTGTGTGATTATTTTGTATTGTTCGACAAACAGTGCGAAAGGATTCTCTCTACTTGACTTATGGATATTTGTTTTTTTTATGTGTTATCGAAGATAAAAAGAAACCAAAAAAAAAAAAAAAAAAAAAAAAAGGACAACGTGTAATTCTCGTACGTTCGTTTATTTTTATATAAACGAAGGATTTCATCGTAAAGTGTTGAAAAAGG